TACTGATACAAGTGATGCTTTAGATAATTTACAGAAACAAATATCTGATTTAAATAAAAAAGTAGATAAACTTTTTACATTGTATTCTTGTTTTCGATCTCACTCCTGGGGTCATTCTAATTCTAGATCTAGATCCTTGCCTGCGAATAAACAAACCAAAAACACATCCATGTGTTGGTACCACACCAAGTTTGGTGAAAAGCTGTTAAATGCAACAAACCTTGCACTTTTAAATACAGAAAACTAAACGGCCAAGTATGAGTGGCGACGAACGTCATAGGCCAAAATAATTTTCACCTCCTTGTATATGAAAAATCTTTAAGAACACATTTTTTGGTTGACACAGGCTCTGAATTGTCTGTTTTGCCTCCTACTTTCTTCACAAGACCAATGTAAACCAACATCATTGCTCAATTTAATTGCAGCAAATGGTACCAAAATTGATGTATAATGGAAAACATTTAGTCAATTTAGACATAGGTCTACGCCAAATTTTTCCTATGGACTTTTACTGTTTCGTAATGTTTCGACAATCATTTTTAGGGCGTAGATTTTTAAGTAAATATTATGGTATTATTTGTTAATTTGAAATCCAAAAAATTAATTGACAACATGACTAACATTCAGTCCGATAGCAAAATATCATGGGATAGTGTACCCAAAATTATAGTTTTACAACCGTTACATGTGTTTAATGATTTACTTAAAAAATATGATTCTCTGTTTTAAAACAGCCTTTGGATAACAATACTCTTGGAATTACACACGTAATCGAAACTAAAGGTTCTCCAGTAGCAGCTAAGGCTAGATGCCTAGCGCCTGACAAATTGGCTGCTGCAAAAGCAGAATTCACTTAATTAGTGCAAAAAGGCATTTGTAACCCTTCTAAAGGAAAAGGCTAAAAGGCTCCTGGAGTAGTCCTCTCCACATGGTAAAAAAACCGGTTGGGTCTTGGCGGCCTTGCGGGGACTACCATAAATTAAATTCAATCACTGTTCCAGATAATTATCCAATTAGATATCTAATTTGAGCAATAAAGCTGTTTTTTCAACATTAGACCTCAAGAAGGCATATCACCAGGTACCAATGAATAAAGAGAACATACCAAAAACGGCAATAGTTACTCCTTTCGGATTATTTGAGTTCAGCTACATGATATTTGGCTTACTTAATGCTGTGCAAACCATGCAGAGATTACTCCATCAGATTCTGTCAGATTTAAATTTCTGTTTTGTCTATATAGATGATATTTTGATTGCTTCATCATCTCTCGATGAACATATACTTCATATCGGAGAAGTTTTTAAGAGATTAAAAAGTCATAATTTGCCTGTCAACATTCCTAAATGCACATTTGCTGCAGAATGCGTAAAATTTTTAGGTCATATTATCAACAAAAATGGAATCATTTCTTTACCAGAAAAAATTAAAGTTATCCAAGATTTTTCCAAACCCAAAAACTGTTAATGAACTCAGACGCTTTTGGGGAATTCTTAATTTCTATAGCAGATGTTTAAATCATGCTGTTAAAGTTCAACTTCCTTTAAATAGTATGCTCGGACGTTGTAAGAAAAGTGACAAAACATCTTTAAATTGGTCAATAGACACTGATTCAGCCTTTGAGTCATGTAAACAGCTTCTGACACAAGCTACAAACTTAGTCCACCCAGACCCAAAAAAGAAAATTGCTCTGATGTGCGATGCATCAGACAAAGCCATAGGTGCTTGCGTCCAACAACTCAATGTTCAAACATGGGAACCATTAGGATTTTTTCTCCAGAAAATTGAGCGATATGGAACAAAAGTACAGTACGTATAACCGAGAGCTGTTAGCAATATTTGCCTTTATCAAATACTTCAGGTATCTGCTTGAAGATACTTACTTTCAACAAAGTATATACAGATCATAAGCCACTCACAAAAGCATTTTTCCAAAAGTATGACAAGTTCTCACCTCGACAAATTAATCAACTTAATTTCATCAGCCAATTCACTACTGATATTCAATATGTGAGTGGTGCAGAAAATAGACCAGCCAATGCTCTTTCTTGCATCAAAATGGTTGCTGATGTCATTCCCATTAACTGTGAATCTATGTCGAAAGCACAGCAGAGTGACACTGTACTCCAATCCTTTTTAGACAAAGAAAATCCAGTTCTGCAATTAAAGAAGTTTAAAATGCCTGAGAGTTGTATAGAACTGTATTGCAACATTTCACATGGTAAAATCCGTCCTTTTGTTCCAGACAGTCATAGAAAACTTGTCTTTTCAGCTCTGCATAACCTTTCCCATCCTGGACCTAAAGCAACACTGAAGTTAATTAGAGACCGATTTGTCTGGCCCAGAATGAAAAAGGATGTCACGAACTTCGCTAAAACTTGTCTACAATGTCAAAAATCTAAAGTGTCTCGTCATGTACACTCCCCTTTAACTACTTTTATAGTTCCAGATGAACGTTTTTCTCATATCAATACAGATTTGATTGGACCTCTTCCATCATATCAAGGAATGTCTTACTGTCTGACATGCATTGATAGTTATACTCGCTGGCCTGAAGCATATCCATTGAAAGATATACAGGCGAGAGACCGTCGCCACTGCTCTTTATGCTGGCTGGATCTCAAGATTCGGTGTGCTTGGTGAACTCTTTCGAGAACTAGCCAAGAACTTTGGTATTCACCTTTCTCACACCACCGCATATCACCCACAAGTCAACGGCATCATTGAAAGGTGGCACAGATCCCTCAAACAATCCATAATGTGTCGCACATCCGTACATTGGACTATCGCATTGCCTTCAGCTGTTTTGGGACTTTGGACTGCTTTCAAAGAGGAACTTAACTGCTCTCCAGCCAAACTAGTGTATGGCCAAACTTTGCGTCTTCCAGGACAATTCTTTATGCCTCCTGACAGCAACATTCCAAGGAGTGACTTCCTAAAAAAATTGAATGATAATCTGGAACAACTTCACCCGACTGCTACTACCAGTCACTCTAAAAAAACAGGTCTTTGTGTATAAACACTTAGATAAATGTTCTCATGTTTTTCTATGTGTAGACGCGGTAAAACCCTCCTTGCATACACCTTACACTGGTCCATACAAAGTACTTCGACATGGTGATAAAACTTTTACCATATCTAAACAAGGACATAATATCACTGTGTCTATTGACAGAGTAAAACCTGCTTATTTAGTCCCAGATAATGTATCTGAACCTCCTAGTTTAACTGATGTAGATAAGGCCTCATTGCAGCAACCAACCTATCCAGTAAACGAACAGCCACCTGACAAAAGTGCTCTTACAAAAGCAAATTATCAAACTTGTTCAGGGCGTTGTGTCCACTTCCCCAAACGATTTGTGAAGACTAATTTTTTACCTCTTTTTTTTTTTTTTTTTTTTTTTTTTTTTTTTTTTTAGGGACGGGAGATGGTGTGGGGCTACCTTCCCCCCCTTCATTTCTTCAGTGCTTCGAGTTCTCCTCTTTGCGCATGCGCAATAAGAATATCATCTTTGCACGACTGCAAAAGAGAACTTTCCGCCTTCTGTTTTTACAAGTTCATGTACGTGTTTTACACATCGCTGAGATTCCTGTTATTCATTGCCATGCATGTATTTTGATTAATTAAAGAATTTATTTTTCTAAACTGGGTGTCTAGCCAATAATCAGACCCCAAAATGCATAATGAAAAAATGCAAATTAAAAACCACCAATACAAGTAAAGTATCAAAAAAATCTAATCGAGTTGCACACTGAAAGCAGCAACAAATAGTGGTAAGTATGCAAAATAAATTAAAAAACAAAATGTTTAAAATTCATCCCATATTCATTTCAGAATGAACATATGCAAAAATCAGAAGCGCAGTGGCAAATTGCAAAGAGAAAGGGGTAAAACATGCCAAAAACAAAAATGAAGTAAGAAATTTACATCTTTGACTGCATAGTCATCAGGGGGATGGTACAATGAAAGAACTAAATGAATCAGCCTGTTTCTGAACCAATAAAGACACAAATCTAAATAAATAAATAAATAAACCAATGAAATTAAAACAGAAAATTACTTTGATTGTTTTGCTAAGATTATTTTACGCTTAAAACCTTGTGTCTTTATTGATTGAAAAACAGGCTGATGTATTTACATCTTTTATTTCACCAATCCCTTGATGATGCTGCAACAGATGTACATTTCTTGTTTTGGCATGTTTTGCCCTTTTTCTTGCAGTTTGCCACTGTGCTTCTGTTATTTGATCTGTATATCTGATTTTGATGTTTGCTTTTTATATGAACAAGGTTAGGAAAAGTCTTTTTTTATATGCATACTGGAAAAAAAAAAATCTTTTTCCTAGCAGTTTTATCAATATGTTCTACAAACACAGTCAAAAGTCTGGAACATAATTCTGCTTGAGAACAAATTTCATGAAATCATAACATTTTGATTCCAGATCCCTGCTTAAAAAATCTAGGTTTTGATTTAATAAAGTTACAGAACAAATGAAGTCTTAGTTTCAAAATCACATAAGGAATTGCTTGTTAGTGGCATGTATGTAGTAGCATGCATATTATGTTTTATGAGTAACTTGCATATATGTTGATGTTGATTGAATTCATTAATTTTATTCAATTTAGAAAAATTGAAGATCATTGATAATTATTCTGAGTAGTAGCCCCCAGATAGTTAGTTTGTGGTATTATTTCTTTCTTAGTATATAGTCCTTAGTATTGCTTTCTTTTAATATGTAGTGTACAAATATATTTTATAATCATCATTGGGGACTAGTGCAATCATTAAATTGACAAAAGATATTTCTGTATTAACTTATATGCAATTATTTATAAAAGAATACATAAATAAGTGAGAAATTTATATTTAAGATGCTGGAATATTTGTTGCTTTTGTATGTTATAATTGAAAAGTGTTTATATGTAACTTTAAATTGAATACTATGTATCAGAATTTTTTTAAAAAAAAGTGTCTAGTAAAATATATACATTAATTTTAGCTACTTAATTGAAGCCAGTTGTGGTTGTATTCAGCAACTACTTAGTAATTGTACAAAGGTGAAGAAACTTGGTCTATCTGCAATACGGTAAGATATAGGATAAGGTTTTTATTTTAGTTCTAAAATTAATATTTTATAAAATATCTTAAGAAAATTAATGTTTATTTTTTTACTGTGATAATAAAATCTTTTATCTTTTTATCTTAATCTTTTATCTTATCAGGTTTCTTAAACTGAGCACGTTTAGATACCTATAGTTTTCCCTCATCATTTTAAGTGCATAATTTTAACAATCATTTAATTCATTGATTACAGATCAGTCACATCAGTAAAACAATCTAGTGACATAATATTTCAAGAGGACATTCATTAACTGCTGCACTGTTAGATAAAAAAAAAATAATAATAATAATCTCTTTCTCAAAGGAAATACAAGGTGTGCAGAAAAAAATTGCCAGATTTAATATAAAAATTATGTAGTAATGGTAAATTTTATTCATGTAATTGATAAATTTTATTCATGTAGTTTTATTCGTGTGTTCATGGAGTTGTTGAAGATTAATCAAAACCCAGTAGTTCTCTGTTCACCCAGCCCTGCAAATGAAAATGTACTTCTTTATTGTAGAACACTATAATGTTATATCAACAGTTTGCAGGGTAGCATCAATAGATGCACCTTGGTTAGCACACTTACCTTCTGTAAATTCCTGCACAGCTGTCTGTTTGTGAAGTTACCACTTTAGGTCCAAGTCTAAAATTATGTGAATTTCAGAAATTTCAATCAGAAATTTCCATATCAGCAAGCAGCAGCATGTCTACAGACCAGTTGTCAAGGAAATCTTATAATGGCTTGTCTCACTGTGCCAGCATTCAATGGTGATTTCACATTCCAAAAGCTACCATAAGGTTTCATTTTTAAAGACAAGTCTGTCCTTCAGAACATTTTCACTAGTGAAATAATTACTATATGGTGGAGACAGATTTTCCATTCTTGAAATACATCTTTATTGCAAATGTATGATGCTCAATGCTACACACCATGATAGCAACTGATCAGGTATAAGCCAAAACCTGATTCACCTATATAAATAGTGCCAGGCTGTGTAGCAGTAAATCTGCAATGTATTTCTTTTCATATAGAAAACAAAATTGTAAAACTTTTTCTTTCCAACTATGAAATATAATTATATATAATATCAATCATGCCTTAGCTATTTACAGATAAAGACTTGGAGATATTTCTAGGAACTTTGTATAAAATTTTCATTCCTTAAAAAGTTTCGCATATAGAATGTATGGAGTGAAGCGAAAAAGAGACTAGATAAATGAATGTAAATGTAAAGAAATGTGTTTGCATATATTTATTTATCCAGTGGTGTTGTATCCAATGTCTACATTATATTGACTGTTTCTATTTAGTTAACAATACACTTATTGAATTATTATCTCTTGTTAATCCCTTGAACTACACGGACCTTGATTCAAGACTGGACCTCAATCAGAAAATAAAAAAGGTCTTTGTTGTCGTGAAGTATTTTATGTGATTGCTGTGGAAAATATCCGCAATCACTATCCTACTTATGAATGGCTTAGCACCTGTACCTGCCTTCTGCACTTTACTAAAAGAGCTGAGGCTGATATTTTTTGTGAACTTTTTTGTTTTTATATGCCAGATGTAAACTTTGTGACCCATTTTGGTGGTCAGCTGGAATTAATCTATATAACTCTTTAGCAGCTTGCCATTCACCAGAATTTCTGTGAGAGGGCTGTGATTCTGTTCATTTCAACATCTGCTCTTCAGGCTTATTATCTAATGAGGAAAATAAAACTTTACATTGAATTCTCTCAAGTAGAGATATACACCTCATGTCCAGCAGTATATATCTCTATTTGAGAGAATTTAATGTAAAGTGTCTTTCCAGTGAGTACCCTCCCACCATTGTGGTTTGAGGGAAATGAGAAAGCGGATCTTTTTGCAAAAAGAAGTTGCAGTTTAATTTCTGTTCTCATGTCCATATTACATGGAAATAATGGTTGCCAGAGCCTACTCCAAAGATAGGTTGGACTTCTATTTTTCCACCCCAGCTTTGAGGGAGATCTTTCTAGGGGGGTAGTTTCGGAGTCTCCCACCCCTCTCCCAAATCACACTAGAGGACTTTCTGTTCACCGCAAATTTAGAGTGCTCCCATGCCACATGAACACTATACATTTACAAACATCCATGTCTTATCTGGGCACTTCGGTACCGCAGTAGGCTCCCCTAACCACTATACCATCTGGACAACTAATTCAAAAGCCAAACAGAAATTCGCCCTTTCAATCTTCAGTAGTTCCTTTCATACAATGTCTGCTCACTCTTCCTGTACTAAATCCCAGAGTGTATTCGGCACCAATTCCCATCTTGTTCCAGACACTTCACATGCAGCTGCGGTGTCCACTTTTAGACTGTCGACTGAACACAACTGTCTCTGTGCCCATTTATTTTAGTATTGTCGACCATTCTGTGTGTATATTGTATTTAACTGGATAAGACATGACTGCTGCTCACATTGACAAATGCTCTGCATTATCTCATTTTAATTGTCTGGTGGAAAAATATTGGAGAGCATGCAGTCTAATTACCTAGTGGCCAACAGGCTGGCATTTCATAAATGAATATTTATTTATGTTTAATAATCTTATACCTATCTGTAAATATTTTTTCTTATTTGTTTAATATCACATCTGTTTTTAACATTTAGGGTGTTTAGACAGTAAAAATTTAATACTAAGTGTCAAGGTGAAACTTTTCAAGAAAGAAGTACTATTTTTCTTGTGAATAATTTCTCATAATCTGAAGTTTTAGTTGTGATTGCTCTAAAGCTAATTAAATCATCTCAAATTTTGTCATCGGTTATGCAATTTAATGAATAAATTATATAACTGAAAATTTCAAAAATATCGTATGATAGGAAATAACATAAAAGGAAAAGTGAAAATGCGAAAAAAGTTTACAAGCACAGCTTATGTAATTTGGTCATAGTGTGGAAGATCTCTTAATTCTGGCAATAATTGATTCATCTAAATGTTATAAATAAAAGTAAAAAATTAATAATAATAATAAAAACCAGATTTCTGATTAAACTGCTGAAAATATCTTCATTTCTAGAAATAACTATGTAGCATCAAAATGTTTGTGAATATTAACAATAAAATATGCTTTTTTGGTAAAACAGTAATTTCTCAATGTTAGAGGAAGAGGTTAAAAAAATCTATAAATTGATTAAAAAAATATAAAACAAAGCTTGATTGGTAAAATTTTTGTTGAAACCAAGCATATATTTCTGTTGAAAATAGTTTGCTGTGAAATAAAAGAATGCAGTATTAAAAACCTGATACCTTTTTTTTATACATGATAAAAACACTATGTTTTATTTAAAAATGTTACTAAAAAAAAGTTCAAAACCATGTCTTATTTTATAATTGTTTTGGCCTCAGAAAATAAAAAATTAAGAGAAAAAACTGTATTAATGAGATTATGAAGATTTTGATTCAGTATGCTGTCTAAATACTTATTTATGAAATATTTATTCTTAAGTATTTTAAATTATTTATAATTTTAATCAAATGATTTAATTTATTTAAGAAATGTGAATTATTGCTTAAAATTGTTTACAATGCAGGTTAATTTCTGGGAATTGTATTTAAAACAGTTAACTCACAGGCCATGAATTTTTACATAAAATTTTGCTGTGCACATTGTTGTTTTTCAAGCAAAGTTTTTTTCACCTTTAAAATCTTGCAAAATAAATATTTTGGATTAAAATGAATTTGGTAATGCTCCTTCATGCCTTTGTCTTAAAGTTAAAAAAAAGGGAGGAGGAAAGGAAAGTATTGTTGATTTAGCTCATCTGGAAAATGTTTGCTTATATCAGTTTGGAGAGCATAGAATTTTAGCATTGATACCATGGAATTGATGGTTATTATATGAAATTGATAAAGCTGAAAGAATCATTCAGTAATCTGGTTATTGTATCAAAGTATTTTAATATAAATTAATGTTGGCTTAGTATTACTAAAAATTTAAGAACTGAATAAAACTATTTCATATTTTCAATGATTTAAACTCATAAATTTAAAACTTCATTTTGCTAATATTAATATATTTCATTTACATTACTTTAGATCTATCTCAAATAATGATGTAGATATCATAGCTTGCAATTGTAAAGCTATTGAACAACTGGACATCCTAGGCTTAAGTGAAGTTACAGTTGATGCTGTAAGAATGTATGTAAATTTTTATGTAAAATAATATTCTAGTTTAATACATATGTAAATGAAAGTTAAAATTTAAAAGCTAATGTAAATATATTTTCTCAAAAATTGTTTGAATTGTGTTCTAAGTATGATTGTTACTGATAGATATTAAAGCATCATGCAAATTTCAACAGGAAAATTATACAAAATTCATGATTATATTAGCGTTAGTTTTATCTAAAAATTCTTTGAATTTTGAACGTATACTATGCAATAGGGAAACACGCGACCAGTCCCTCCAAAAGAACCGTGCAACCAACAAAATTTGGCAAACTGCCAATCAAAGCTAAATATTTCCTTTCATTTCCTCCAGACCGAGTAAAACCGTGATAAAAGAAATCGTACTAACAAATTCTGCTTCACCCGAGTTTTCTCGGGATAATAATTAACTGCAATATATACGAACCCGAGATAACTCGGGATAATCAGGCAAGCAGTTAAATGAAAACAGACAAATAATATTTAGTGCAATTGGACTTATTATTCATTTATTTTGTGTTAGAAATATAAAGAACATGAAAAAATAAAAACAAATGTATTTGTAATTATGAGATATAAATCCAGTTATATACCACAATATAAACCTCTTAAAGTGAGCATTATTAATGTTACCATTCAGATATTGGTTTTGAGTTGTCAAAGTCCCACCCATTGTATATGAAAACATATAAAATACATTGCTTATTGTGATTAACAATTTTAAAATAGGTGAGTGGATAACATTTCGGAATATCAAAGTACTGAAAAATAAATTTTTGAGCTGAAATAAAAAATAGTCACCAAATAAGGTCAAAATACAGTATGTCGCCAAGTTAGGGATTAAAATCTGAAAGCAGCTTGGTTTTGATTTGAGACTGAAAGAAACTTATTTTCTAAGTTTTAAGACGATTGATTGGATTGGTCAGAATTAATGAATACTTAACCTTCCAGCACGCGCATATGAGCAAAATTTACAACAAATTCAGTTTTTAATGCACAGATTGAAGCTGAGACGTCTGAATGTCATTTCTATTCCTCCTTTCTACCCTTCCCCACATCATGGAATGTGCCAACAGGAAGTCATTTGACTTCTTTTTTTTTTTTTTTTTTTTTTTTTTTTTTTACTGGGCATTTGTGCTTTTCCGTAAAAGTTATGACACGCGTGTGTTTGTGGTTGAAAATTTGGAAAATTCTTTTTTCTCAAATATTTTGTAATTTTGTGTTATTAATTGCCGTGTATTATTTTAATTTGAATATATTTGGTTCTGTAAATTTTATATCAGTTTTCATGGCAAAAAAGATATGTGGAACCAGCTGATTTTGCTCGTATTCTTCAAGAATTATCTGATGAAGAAAATGAAGACAGGGAAACCTTTGGATGGGAGAACATAGCGATTTCCATCCCTTATTTTCTTTTCTTTCTATTTTTTAGAAATAAATAAAAATATTAAAGTTAATTTAAAGTGTGTTTTTGTAACCAGTAAGAAGTAAATTTCCTTGCAGAAGTAAGTTATGTTAAACTTACTTTTTTTCCTACCAAGGTGTTTTCCTTTTTTTTTTTCCTTTATACTTGCCTTTGATGAATATTAAAATTAGTTTCGATTTTAAAATATAATTATTAAATAATAAATTTAAAATGTTCTATAATGAAATACATCATTGCATTTCCTTCTCACTAACATAAGAACTTAAAAATAATTTACTTATATTTGAATGTGATATCATTTGTATTTTGCAATAATAAGATTAATATTTTATTTCTTAAAAATTTATTATCAATATTCACTCATGTCTGCCGTTTTTCGTGCCAAAAAATGGTAAAATAACAGATGTCGTAAAAAATATGATGTGCGCGTGCTCATGTAAAATTGCCAAGTGCACATGCACTTAAGGTTAAGCAGAATTAAGAAAACCTTCCTTTTTTGTGCCAAAATATTTTTTATGCCAAAAAATCTGAAAAATTCAAGTTGCAGCATCAATGACAGAATACATCTGCTAGTCATTTTCTGAAACAAATCCAAAAACATCATGTGATAAACTTTCTGAAGAAGAACATGATGAAATTTGTGAATTTTCTATGAAGGCTGAGATAAAGAGTATTAGTTATGTATGTATTAAATTAATTAAATTCTATTGATATTTTGAAGGCTATTTTTCTCATCACGTAGTACTATCAAAATAGTTCTGGACAAACGTGGTCACATTAATTAATGCTTATTGCAAATAGGAAAATGCAGACCATAGTATTGCTAATTGTAACGAAAATTCTAAATCAAATTCGAATCACTCATAATCCAAAATGAGATGCATGGCCTGGAGAGTTTTACATAAATTGTAATTAAACTTGATATTTACATATATACAATGTAGGCTAAAATGCCTGAATCGAATATTAAGGCTCGAAAAGCAAGAACTGAATAGTTCCATCAAAGAATCTAAATCGAATTCTATTGCATAGTGCATCGAAATTCTACCTTCAAGAAGAAGAATATTTTTTCAAGTCACGTGTTCAGAAGGGGAAAGGTTAAGTAAGCCAATAAATGGACTCCTAATGCCATCTCTTGGCGATATCAAAGAATATTCCTTAAAACACTCCCCACCTGAATTCTGACAAGAGTTCATCTAACTCAGTTATACATACAATCAAGTACATAAATCACTATTCTATAAAAATACAAAAAATTCTAATTACCGTATTTGACAGCATATAAGACGCACTTTTTTTCCTAAATTTGGTCTCAAAAAAGTTACCTCCGTCTTATACATGAATCAGACAGTCTTATACATGGATGTAACTGCATTCAATAATTGTTTATTTGGCTTTTACAAAACGTGAGAACTAAAAGAAACCACGCTATCGAAACTTTTCTTCCTTGTGTGTGGCCGTCTAAATAAGGGTGCGTCTTATATACCGTCAAATACGGTAGTTAAACACTTCAATTACAAAACAGGTTACACAACATGTATCAATTAATAAATGTTATAACTAATAAAGGAACTAAATTTTTTAAATATTTTCAACTTAACTAAACAAACTTAACTAATGATATTCAATTTAATCATTATTAAAAAAAAAAGAAAAAGAAAAATGCACCATAAAATCGTTAAAGTTCAATTATTATTATCTTTTTAAGTTCAAGAGGATATAGATGTTGAACAGTACATTTTAAAGTCCCGTTATCAGTTTTTAATTCGAATGTTCAGACTTTACCATCACGTCCAGGAATAGTTTTTATAATTCTACCAAGTTTCCATAACAGTTTGTTTTTGGCAGTTCTAAGATCTAATAAATATTGTTGCTTCCATTTGCACCACAACTGTTTTAACAGCAATTCTTTATAAAGCTTTCTTTTTAACAGCGTTTGTCTTGTCGTTTCGCTACCGATGATTCTAGCAAAAGTCAAAGGCTACTTCAAATCAGTTTGTCCAATGTTTAGAAAGTGCATTGGAGTCAAGGGTTGTGGCTCGTCATTGTCATTATAGACATAACTTAGAGGTCGTGAATTAAGAACTGACTCCACTTCAACAAGTAGTGTAGACATTTCTTCGAAAGTCAACAATGCTTTTTCTACGATTTTTCTTAAACATTCTTTAACATATCTGACAAGTCTCTTGTAAAACCCTCCCCACCATGGAGCTCGTTCGATTATAAATTTCGAATGGATTCTTTCTTTGTCATCTTTTAAAACTTTTGAAAAATTTTCAAGTTCTTTCTTTGTCCTCTTAAAGGTCTTGGCGTTGTCAGAGTAGATGATTGCACAGTTTCCTCTTCTGCTCAAAAATCTACGAAATGCAAGTAAAAAGGATTCTGTTGACATATCTGATAAAAGTTCTAAGTGTACAACTCGGGTTACTGCACAAACGAACAAAGCAATATAGGATTTTCGAGTGTCTTTAGAATTCTTTATGTAAACTGGTCCGGCGAAATCAATTCCACAGACTGCAAATGGAAGTGATTTTTGGATTCTATCCTTTGGTAAGGGTGGTGTCATGTGGTCTGCTGGTTTAGCTAAATATTTTTGGCAAATCATACAACCTTTTAATGCATTTTTGACTAACTGGCATCCTTTAGGAATCCAGAAACATGATCTGCCTTTAGCTAAAGTTGCAGCAATTCCTCCATGCATTATCTTCTCATGTTCTTTGCGTACAATTAGAATCGTCAGTCGGGAATTTTTAGGTAGGATTATTGGATGTTTGTTATCTAGTGAGAAGTCAGAAAATTCCAATCTTCCTCTCAACCTCATGATTTCCTTTTCATCAATGTAAGGAAGAAAATTGTACAAAGGCGAATTTTTTCCAACCAAATTACCTTCTTTGAGATATTTATATTCTTTGGCAAAAAACTTCAGAATTTTTTCCAACCAAATTACTTTCTTTGAGATATTTATATTCTTTGGCAAAAAACTTCTTTTTATCTGATCTTATCCAGAAAGTTTCTGCTTCTTGTAACTCTTCAGCTGTGAGAGTTCCTTGAATGTCGCTAGTTTTTTTTAATTTTCTAATGAAACGTTTTGTTGTCCAAGCAGTGACTTTCAACACCTTCTCTAATTTGCTATATTTTGATATGTTGAAAAGATCATCTGTACTTTTTTCGATTGTACATTCAAGTTGATGTATATCACTGGATCCCTTTCAGTATTCCAGATTGTTTTCATCTATTGTTTCTTTAATATCTAATCTTGGCCAAAGTTCGTGAGGGAGTTGAAGCCACTGGGGACCTTGCGTGGTGGAAATTTTTGTTCCCCGAGACACAAGATCTTCTGTATTAAGCACCTGGCTTCTGTATTTAGCACCTGTGCAATAATGCCAATCTTGAGGTGAGCCCAATTTTTGTATTTCTTTGACATGATTCCTGACAAAGGGTTTGAAGGCTTCAGGTTGTTTTTGGATCTAAAAATAAGTAATTGTTGAGTCTGTCCAAAAATAGCTCGGAATTTTCAATTTCAGTGCTTTCAGACTATTGCTGCTAACTTAACTGATAAGAATGCTCCCATTAATTCTAACCTCGGTAAAATAAGGGGTTTTAGTGGGGCTACCCTATTTTTAGAAGAGACAAAGGCCATTTTGATTTCTTTATTTTCTGTCGTGAAACGTAAATATGCGAATGTACCATAGGCTTTGACACTTGCATCTGAGAAGCAATGTAATTTGAGATTTTCGACATTAAAGTTCGAGGGCATGACAAAGTGACGAGTGATAGAGAATTCAGCCATTTGAGGTAGCTCTTCACACTACTTTTCCATTCTGAGGACAAATCTCCAGGCAATGGTACATCCCAATCTATTTGGGACGACCAAATCTTCTGTATTAAGCACTTTATTCTAACAGTGAAAGGTCTTAAAATTCCAATTGGATCGAATATCCGACCCAACACTTTAGAAAAAATGGTTTTATTTCTTTTGGTTTAGACGTGAAAGACAATAGGTTTCGAACATCAAAATACAGTAAATCCTTTGAATTATCCCATACCATACCTAAAACCTTAAATGGAAAATTTTCTCTATTAAAATCTTCAGGATTTTCATCTGAAATGATACCCTGCTTTACCCACAATTCATGTAGTTGTCTTGAGTTACTATGCCATTTGTGAAGTTGCATGCTTGCTTCCTTAAATATTTGGACAGATTCTAGACTCATAGTTAATACTTCATTGATCATTGGTTGGTTTATAATCACATCATCTATATACGTTCTCATCCAAAAAGTGAACCGTTGTAGGATAAAGTTTATTATATTTCTTCAGATGATGTTTAATGGTAGCGGCTAATGGAAATTGACTACTATTCATTCCGAGTAAAACTCTAATTAACCTATATATGTCAGGAGAAATGTTTTCATCATTAGAGAATTCGGAAAACAGGAACCTGGTTGCGTCCCGATCCTTTTCATGTATGAGAATCTGTAAAAAGACCTGTTTTATATCTGCGGTGAAGGCTATTGGATTATACTGAAAACAATGCTTTGAATATTTCAGGGTATAAATTTAGCCCAACATGTAGACAGTTATTTAAAGAAATGGATCCTGGGGCATGCGATGATGCATCATAAACAATACGTAATTTACTTGTAGCTCGATCCTCCTGTATCACTTCCCTATGTGGTAAGTAAAACACGACATCCTCTTCATTTGAAATTTCTGTTACTGGTTCAATAATATTTTTTTTAACTGATCTCTTAATACGTTCCTGTATTTGGAAAATAGATTAGGATCTTTATTAAATCGTTTTCTAAGTCGATAAAATCTTTGTTCTGAAATTTCCCTATTATTATTTAGATTTGATGTGTCATGTTTCCAAGGCAATCTAACTTTGTAGCGAGAATTTTCATATGTTATATTTGATTCGAAGTATTCAACATCTTTGTTTTCAGTTGAATCAAAGTTTTCCCTCTTATCAATAAGTCCTGAGTTTTCCAAGTCACAAAATTTTATTATTTGTTTGGAAATTAAATCTTCCCCTACAACTACATTGAAAGCTAAAGAGACATAATCATCACCTTTTCGTCCATGTAGGCACCAGCCGAAAATAGTTTCCACTGCAACAAGACTTTTGCTTAAGTATTTAATGTGTCCCATTACTATGTTGTAATAATAATCTGCTCCAATTAGAATGGCAATGAGTTTTTTTACAATTGGGAAAATCTGCGAGCATCAAATTTTTTAATTGTCTGTTTTGCTTAATTTCTTCTGATTTAGGAGGAGGAATATCTGTACCTGATATATGATCAGTTACTAATAATCAAATTCTATTCTAGAATCGGGAGAACCTCTATGTTGTAAATTTAATTTAACTATGTCATAAATTTTTGGATGGGTGAGGTATTCCCAAAAGAATAGACAGACAATTTTTCTTTTCCTTTGACTTCGAGGTTTAATTCGTCCGCTAACTTGCAAGCACAAAAATTTTTCATACTTCCACTATCCAAGAGAAGTCTGGCAAACACCTTTTCCTTAGCTGTTTTAACTTTTATCGTGTAAGTCTGTAAAAGAATTGTGTTATTTACACTATGTGAAACGGCCGAAACAATTTCTTCTTTCTGTTCCTTAGTTTGTGTATCATTTCTCGAAATTGATATACTATCCTTTTTATTACTTGGTGTATTTTTAACTATCGAACTGGATTTAAAACATATGGCTTCTGAATGTTTACCTTTGCAAATTTTATAAATTTTAGTTTGAAGTTGCCGGCATTGTGAGATTTTGTGCTTAGGGGCCAGGCAAAGAAAACACCGCGCTTGGTTCTTCAAAATATCTCTCTTCTCATTAACTGTGAAGCATAAGCAGGACTCTGAGTCATGGTTTTGAAAACAAAAAATTCACTTTCGATTTGATGACGCGGCTGGCTGCCATAAAATCATGTGTGGTGACAGTTTGTTTATGTTTCGGCGTCAGTGGATATCTGTTAATACCTTTCATTTCCGGTTTTGACTTGCGTGGAAAGGATAACAAATTTATCTTTTCTCGCAATTCTATTTCTAATCGGAGAAAGTCTACAAATTTGTTTAAATCATAGGTTGAAGGATTTTCAGTATTTGTACGATGAAATTCTAAAGTTATATCTTTCGGGACAATTTTCACCAAAATTGGAATAAACATGTTGGAATATGTTTCTGGTTTCACACTGAATGCAAAAAAGGCTTCTGACTTGAGCGTTAATTGTATCATAAAGTTTTCGCAATTTTGCCACTTCACTTGAACTTTGAACGGAATTTAAATTTAAGAGATTAGAAATGTGTTTATTGATAATAAGGTCACTTTGACCAAATCTGTTTTTAAGAATGTCTATAGCAGAGTCATAATTAGCCTCTGAGATTGTGAGACCCTCTATGGCTGATGCTGCATTTCCACATAAATAAGTTTTCAAATAATTAAATTTTTCAATCTTTGAAAGTGTAACATTGTCATGAATAGTGACCTTGAATGAATTCCAAAAAGTCACCCAATCGTTATAGTCTCCAGAAAATTTGTGAATTAACAGTTTGGGAAATTTCACATTACTTTCAGTCTGTGTTTTGGTTTCAACTTCTGTAGATGAATTATTTAAATTCGCATTGAAATTTTGAATATTGTATTTCCTTAAGTAACGGTTGATTTTAGACTTCAATATTATTATTTAATCGTTATATTCCATAGAAGTGTTAATATCTGACTCCAGTTTTGATTCATCTTCAATCAAATTTTGTATTTTTTCATTTAAATCATGCAATTCCGTTTCTTTACTATTTAACAATTCCAAACAATTTTCTAACTCTTCTTGTTTTTCTTCTTTTAAATACTCATCTGCATTTTTAATAATTTGAGTTACAGAAGCACGTATGTGTGCTCAATTCTTATTTAGTGTCTTCTGTTCCATTTTAATAAATTATCAAAGGAGACTTACCGTGAGCAGTCTTCACTTACAAAGCTAATCCAAGAGGTGAAAACAGAAAATTTCAAATTAATAAAATTCTTTTCCCTGCGGATGCACCATTTGAAACGAAAGTTCTAGATCAAATTCAAATCACTCAAAATCCAAAATGAGATACATGGCCTGGAGGGTTTTACATAAATTTTAATTAAACTTAATATTTACATATATACTATGTAGGCTAAAATGCCTGAATCGAATATTAAGGCTCAAAAAGCAAGATCTGAATAGTTCCATCAAAGAATCTAAATCGAATTATATTGCATAGTTCATCGAATTCTACCTTCAAGAAGAATAAAATTTCAAGTCACGTGTTCAGAAGGGAAAGCGTCAAGTAAGCCAATAGATGGACTTCTAATGCCATCTATTGGCGATATCAAAGAATATTCCTTAACATAATAGATTGTCAAATCTCCTTTCTTATTATCCATTAAGATAATCTGTAAATTCATTTCTGTTAACTCAGTTTTCGATTATTTTCTCCCTTAGTACTAAAAAATTCACTTTTATATATATTTTGCTTATATGAACTAAAAGTCCAGTAATCTGTCACCCAATATTTCGGCATACCTGATAATCAGATATGAGTGCTATCTTAGGAAACTATAAGCATATCATTTGGAAATGAGATGGAAGCATTTGGCATCATTATAGTTGAAAATTATATAGCAAAATGTGTTGAGGGGAAAAAAATATTGAAAGTACTATGAATAACCACTCTGACCTGCTAAACTCAATTTAAAGTGTTCTTTCGAAAAACTGTTTAGTCACATTTCTATTATGTAATCAAGAATTCGGATTTACTGAGGATGAAATTTTATGAATGAAGCCAAAGACCAGGTGTGAAAACCTCCACTGGTGTCAAAAGAGAGGTTTAATTAGTATTGCTTTGTATAGGGCTGCTTAAGCATTAAACACTAGTGTGGAATTTGCAGGGCATAATTGTGAAATTTAAGTCTTCATACAAGAGCAATAAAGTAAATTCAAGAATATTAATTGATTAAAAATAATTAATTATATATATTCTGTAGTTTATCTTCTGTTTTCAGTTATTAAATGCATTTTCAGAATTTCTGTATGTAGAGTGTTGCTTAAAATTTTGTGTTCTTATAGTAGGTCAAATTATGTTTACAAAATTGATATTACGGGACTACCCTGATATGATAATTGGACAACTTCGACAATTCATCTTTGTAAAGGGTCTGAACTTGCCAGATTATTAAATTTTTAATATATACTGAATTTTATTTTCTTTTCCTATATAGGATTTATTTCCTTAAAACATTACTGTAAATTTAAAATAGTGTATGGTAATATGTCAGGGAAGAAAACAGTTGATCCTTATTTGTGTTAAACTCTTAAAATAAGAATCATAGTTAAATCCTAATTTAAGCTCTGAATCTTGTATTTAGTTTTAGTTCATTAAATCTTTGGAAGTAGCTACATTTAAGAGGTGATTTTTATAAAATTCAATTATATACTTTTTTTTAGTTTATTGCAGTCATGCAAGATGCTAAAGCTGTTGGATGTATCATATTGCAATACTTCAGTAAAATCAGCCATGTCAGAGTTAAAAGAAACATTTCCTGATGTTGAAATTAAATGCAGTATTCCGCCTGATACAAAGCTATTTGACTAGAGATTTTTGTAATAAATGTTTTAAATTTTTAATGTCTGTTGACTGAAATTGTAAAAAAAAAAAAAAAAAAAAAAAAAATATATATATATATAATATATTAAAAGTTTTATGATTTTTTGACTTGATTCATTTTAATCATGTAATTTCCATATCTTTCTAATATTAAATATGACACCACGTTTGAATCAAATAAAAAGCTGCATGAAATTATTAGATATACAAGGATGGATCAACAAATAACTACCCCAAAAATAGAATACAAATAATCATATAAAGCCCCCAATTTACTGTGTGATTATTTTATATATACAGTCAAAAGTCGTTAATTCGGACACCCATAATCCGGATTGATCTATAATCCGGACCTCAAAGCTAAAAACTTTCTGCGCATGCGCCGCGTTGGCACATGTGCACAGGCGTTTTACGCGTGCGCGTAAGACCTTGACTACTGCACATATGCGTGTGCGCAAGTGCAGAATACGTTTTCGCCTGCGCGTTTAATGTATAACGGACGATCTAAGCTAAAATTATCTATTTCAGTTAATGTTCATGATTGCGTTGTTCCTTAATCTTCGAATTGGATCCCGCTTATTATTTTTTGCAGACTCTAAGAGCAATTTTATAAAAGTAACTTGAACTTTCGATTATGTCAAGTAGAATTTCCGATGCTGGAACTTCCAAAGGATCTACAAAACGAATGTATGTTTTCGATGTCCAACAAACAAAAAAGTGGAATTGCTGCAAAAAATGGATAAAGACATGAAGAATGTGACAGAGAGGTTAGTGAAAACGAAAAAATTTCGATTGACAAGTTAGTCGGTATTCTCGGCCAGCAATTAACGGGACTTGAATAGCGGAACTTTGTAATTGAACAAGAAATATGTCTGTTTATAGAATTAAGAGAAAGTATTATCACATAAAACGAAGCAACTTAAACAACTTACATTGAAAGAAATGTTTTAATAAAGTAAACAAAATATTAAGGTTTTTTTTTTTTTTTTTTTTTTTTTTTTTTTTTGTAAATTTTGATACCCTTAGATCATAATTGTACTTTATTTCATAAATTACGGTTTCATATTTTTAATTTTAGATTTTCTGCATGCTATCTTACGAGATTTAAACTGATGATCTATAATCCAGAATCGCCGAAGTCCCGACGAGTCCGGATTAACGACTTTTGACTGTATTATGCAATTTTATATATTATAACACATATTTTTTCTAAGTATAACTAAAACATCTTGGGGCTAATAATGAAGTATGACAGACACCAATTTATAAATGAAATAACACAAACAATAGAATAAAAGTGACAGATTTTTTAAGCTACATTGCTCATGCACAGAGTTCCAAGTCCTAACTAACGTTTGTTGTGTCACATGAAGACATGTGTCACATAAAAAGAAAAGAATGTTTATATTTGGGTGAAGCTAGAGCAGATGCTTCATTTGAAGAATGGTTCATGCCATCTGTTATAATATACAGTACAAAGTCCTTAATCCGGACTCGTTGGGACTTTGGCGATTCCGGATTAGAGGTTTTTCCGAATTATAGATCAATTTAAATCTGGTAAGATGGCATGCAGAAATTATACAATAAAAATATGAAACCGTAATTTATGAAATAAAGAGCAATTATGATCTAAAGGGTATCAAAATTTACAAAAAAAAAAGGCTTAATATTTATTTGTTTCATAGGATATCAAAAAGGATTTAAAAATTAAACTAGTATTTCAATGGCGTCTTAAGAAATATAGAACTATTTAAACTTACGCAATTTGAAATCAGCGTGTACACTAGATTTGGCACTTTGCACATAAATTTTCGCTGCAATTTTTTACGGTTCTCAAAACGGAATAGATAAAATTTAGTACTCTTTTTTAACCTTTGTAGTAAATTATTTATTTTTAGTATTTACCCATAAAATAAAAGATGAGTAAAAAAAGAGAATGCAAATTTAATGACGAGCTAAGCAAAGAATTTCCATTTATTAAAAAAACCAAAATAAACTATATGGTACGGTGTGGCAAATGCAACACTGAATTTTTGGTCTCACAAGGTGGGGAAAAAAAATATTACAAAACATCTAGCTACAAATAGGCACAGAAGACTTTTTAATAATGATGCTTCCTTGTCTAAAATGGAACTGTTTTTTTTCCAGTTTTCTCTTTGGCAACAGGGAGGAACAGCTAGCATTAGCTGAAGGGCTATTTGCTTTCCACACTATAAACCGCAATCAAAGTTTCAAATCAATGGATTGTACATTGCAAATGATCAAAACATTGTACGACAAAAAATTTGCATGTGCAAGAACAAAAACCGAAACAATTATTTGTAATGTTTTCTCACCATATTCGCTTTCACAACTGCAGAAAGAATTCGATAAATGCACAATTATATCCATAAATTCTGATTCTTCCAACCACAAAGATTTAAAATTATTTGCCACAATTGTTCGATTTTTTGATTCAGAAACAGGAATTAAAATTAGAATATTAAATTTTGTTTCTTTGCCGGGTGAAACTTCACAAATAATTTTTGATTCAGTAAGTACTACTCTAAAAAAGAATAATTTGAACAATAAAATTATTGCCTATTGTGTAGATAACACTAATGCAAATTTGGGTGGAAAAGCCAGAAAAGCCTTCAATAACGTTTTTACGAAACTTAACGAACATCTGAACTAAAAAGTCATTGGAGTAGCTTGTGCAGTGGACATACTACAAAATACTATTCAAACAGCATCTGATTTACTTCCACTTGATGTTGAAAATATTACTGCAAAAATTTAATCATGTATATATATAATGTGTATGTTGAAAGTTTGAAGGATTTTTTGTGAAAGCGCAGAAATCGAATATAAAAGAATTCTTGGTTACAGCAAAACACAATGGTTAGCTCTTTTACCAGCTGTAGAAAATATTTTTTAAGTATACGAACTATTAAAATCATACTTTTTATTATAAGATAAATGTTTAAGAATATTGCAGCTCTTTTTTGAAAATGATATACTAGTAACCATTTTCCGAAAAATAATATTTGTTAAAATGATCTTTTTGATGAGGTGTCATTGGTAAAAAGATACATTACTGATGAAAAAATTAAATGTTGGTTGTCTGAAAATGTGGAAACAGACAAAAAATAAACAGAGTTACTCCTTCATTTTAAACAGACTAATATTCCTTATCAAAATATTTTGAAAATTGTAGAACACCCTTCCAGGAACAAATGCAGCAACAGAACGTATTTTTTTTAGTGTAAAAAAATATGAACAACTGAAAAAATGCAGTTGAGCATCATAACTTTAAAATGTATACAGTCAAATGTCGTTAATTAGGACACCCATAATCCGGAATAATCTATAATCCGGACCTCAAAGCTAAAAACTTTCTGCGCCGCGTTGACGCGTGCGCGTAAGACCTTTTACCACTGCGCATATGCGTGTGCGCAAGCACAGAATCCGTTTCGCGTGCGCGTTTTATGTATAACGGACGGCATAATCTAAAATTATCTAATTATCTATTTCAGTTAATGTTGATGATTGCGTTGTTCCTTAATCTTCGAATTGGATCCGGATTATTATTTTTTGCAGACTATAAGAGCAATTTTATAAAAGTAAACTTGAACTTTCGATTATGTCAAATAGAATTTCCGATTCTGGAGCTCCCAAAGGATCGTACAAAACGAAAGTATGTTTCGATATCCATCAAACAAAAAGTGGAATTGCTGCAAAAAATGGATAAAGACATGAAGAATGTGACAGAGAGGTTAGTGAAAACGAAAAAATTTCGATTCACAAGTTAGTCGGTATTCTCGGCACAACAATTAACGGGGACTTGAACAGCGGAACTTTGTAACTGAACAAGAAATTGTGTCTGTTTATAGAATTAAAGAGAAAGTATTATCACATAAAATGCAGCAACTTAAAACAACTTACATTGAAAGAAATGTTTAATAAAGTAAACAAATATTAAGCTTTTTTTTTTTTTTTTTTGTAAATTTTGATACCCTTTAGATTATAATTGTTCTTTATTTCATAAATTAAGGTTTCATATTTTTAATTTTAGAATTTCTGTATGCCATCTTACGAGATTCAAACTGATGATCTATAATCCGAAATCGCCGAAGTCCCGACGAGTACGGATTAACGGCTTTTGACTGTATTAAGCATAAAATATAATTTGACTAATTCATATGAGAAATTTCACGGCATTTTAATGAATGATTCGAACCTATTGCAAAACATTCACGCGGATAAAAAATATGATGGTGTTAAAGTAAAAGATTTAAATTAATTAAAAATCATAATGTTAAAATGATTGTTTTTTACAAATATTTTTATTGTTACCAATAATTAATAATAAATACATTTTTGTATATTTATAGACAAGTATATGAATGTATACAATAAAATATTTATTTTTGAATTATTGGTCTGCTTTCATAACTAAATTATAATTCTAATTTCATCCCATTTGACCTGTTTTGTCTCGATGAAAATGTGGCTACTTTATAATAGCAGTATTAGAGCTTTAAGCAATTATCAGTTTCGCACACATATTTATAGTTAAAAGTGTTTCGTCTCATGGAAACATTCCAGTTACTTGAATAGTTTTTCCTTGAATAATATGTTCCTTGAATAGTTTTTCCTATGTAATCTTTTTTCCCTTTTTTGATTTCGTCGATTTCTGCAACGTACAACTTCTTCAACTGTTCGCTAATTGTAGCACAGGTGATACGTAATCAGCTCTCTGTAGTATAAATACCAGTCGTTCACTGTTTAAAATGAAGTCATTTATGTAATCCTTTTTTGCGTTGTGTTAAATACATGTTAGCATCCAAGTTCTGCTCTGAGCCTTCCTATGTTATCTTTTTTCCTTTTTCTGATTTCGTCGATTTGTGCAAAGTACAACTTCCTCAACTGTTCGGTAATTATAGCACAGGTTATACGTAATCAACTCTCTGTAGTATAAATACTAGTCATTCACTGTTTCAGATGAAGTCATTTATGTAATCTTTTCTTGCATAGTGTTAAATACATGTTAGCATCCAAGTTCTGGAGTGAGTCTTCCTATATTATCTTTTTTCCCTTACGTAATCAACCCTT